AAAGTTATTATATGCACAAAGATGGAAGAATACAGAAATACCCAAAATGGAGGAATGGATTGTGAAGATGGTGGAGTTTGGAGAAATAGCTAAATTGACTTGTCTGATTAAGGAGGGAACAATAATTATTTTCATAAAAGACTAGAAACCCTTATAGATTTTTTTGTTGAAAATGGATAAAAATGAACTGATGATTTCTGAATTTACTGATTGCAAAGGGTTGTTTATAGGAAGAAGTAAACTAAGATATGTAATTTGGGAGGGTGGAGATGATAACTATTATGTCTATAACTGCTGCAAAGAAGATTGGAAGTTGCTTCTTTAGATATTTTTTTTTCTTTTTTCCTTGTCTTTTGCTGACCCTCACTTTTTCTTTTATTCTTTTATAACTTTTTTCTATTTTTCTGTTTAAGTTTCTGTAGTTTTTAATCTTGTGTAAAATTATCTTTTAATAAAAATATCATATATATAAAAAGAAGAAAAAACAACTTTGCGACCAATCCTTGCATTTATGGCTGTTGCAGCATCCTGCGGTCACGTGATCGGCTTTCGGGCGCTTCTCAACCTGTGCACATTTATGACCATCACAGCGTCCCACAGTCACATGATCGCCATTTGCCCGCTTCACAACCGGCTTCCAATAATAATTAATCGAGAATGCGGAAGTGAAATTGCAAGTTGCAGACATGAGATGTCTCGCTTAATGACTGCGGTGATTTCCTTAACGATGGAAGGGGAAGTGATGTAAGTCCGGTGCGGTCACATGATTTTTCACTTAGCAACTGCAGCGCTTAGTGACAAAGTTGCCGGTCCCAATTGTGGCTGGTAAGCAAGGACTACCTGTATTCTGAACCAGGGTTTGTTTTTTAACACCTTCATTTTTAAGGTTGTTTGTTAATGATATTGAACTTAATTTTTTCCTCCTGTAGTTTATTTTACTGTATGCAGGTGCCTTGTGCCTTCTCTCAGCTGAGAACTGGACAGAATGTTATCCACGTTTTGATGGTATTACAAGGAAGAAAAACGTAACCTTAAGTGAAACTTTAGGGTTTTGGAAAATTACCAAGCAGGGTAAAAAAGAAAAAAAAAAGCAACACATAGAAAAAAATGGAGCTTTTCATTTTTTCATTATCATGGCTGTCACCTTGGCTTTTTGACCACACCCTGCAGATATCTCTGTGACCAAGCAAGTCAAAATGGATCAAGAATCTACCACAGAAAAATGTAAACACGTTTCTTAAAGATTTAGCATTGATTTTAATGAGTCAATCTCATGGGATAATCAGGCAGATTATATTAATTTGTTAGCAGAATTTATTTTAAAATGTTATTTTCCAAAAGATTTGGTAACACTGCTTGTCTTCTGATCAATCCATTTTTTTTAAAATGCTACCAGACTAAGATTAAATCGCAGATTTGCCCAACGTTGGGGTTGGGAGGGAACATTCAAATAGGCTCTGGAAATCATATATAACCCACTTCTTAAAAATGATTGTTGGCTCTTTCACCAGGAATTCAAATGGCCCATTCCCAAATGGAGCTTGTCCCATCCTGAGTAAGGATATGGATTCACAGCATTCTCCTTAGCTAAATGCATCAGTTTGGTGTCGTGGTTAAGGCACCAGGCTAGAAACCTGGAAATCATGAGTTCTAGTCCTGCCTTAGGCACAAAGCCAGCTGGGTGACCCTGAGCCAGTCACTCTCTCTCAGCCCTAGGAAGGAGGCAAGGGCAAATCTTGCAGGACTTGTCCAGGCAGTTGCCAGGAGTCAACACTGACTTGAAGGCACCAAAATAAATAAACAAACAAACAAACAAACAAACCATCTTGCTGTGAGATGGCAAGCTCACACTTGACCAGCGTTTTGGAAAGCTGAAGTCTCAAGAAACGTGGAAGTCAGCATCTGATAGTCTTTTCTAATTATATCCTCTTTCACTCATGGTTATCTCTCTGTTGAATCACTGTGGGAAGCTAAGCAGCTACGCTTTTACTCCAGTGATTCTAGGGCTGACAGGCAGCTGTCTCATGCTCTGGATTCGTTCCATAGTAAAAGCTGAACAACCACAAGGGAGCGTGTCACCTGGTTAATATAATTTCAAATTAATTGTGCTTGGCTTTCAGAGATTTCAAACTATATGGGTGGTATTGATTGACGGAAGATACCATCAAACCCTGCTGGCACAATCCAGCTGCCAAACCAGATTGAAGATCTGCCTCACTGCTTTCTTTACTGCCCCATTTATTCTAATGATATCGGGTTCTACTATCTAGATTCTGAAAAGGACAGAAACCTTGTTCAGGCATTATGAAATCTGAAATGCTTACCGCAGGAATGCTCCCATTAGTCCACTCTTGCTGATGTTGCCCAAATAATGTCTTTCTCCTGCAGATGTTCAGTGCAGATTTCTGCAAGAGCAACATCTTTGCATAGGTCTGTACATGTACTGACTTCCCTATGTACCAGGGTTCTGTATTATATGTATCCGTGTTCACCCAGAAGCTAATGAGAAGACTTTTCTCCTGTAGACATGTCCAGTGAATATATGAATGACTTCAGGAGGAAGACATCATTTGGGTGAGAGTTGTGGAAAGGTATGGTTTAACCCCATGGGTAGCACTCTAATTTTCATAATGCCTGAATTGGACTAGTGCATTATCATTGTCATCATTAGCTCATTTATGCTGTTCCAAGCTAAACAATTCTGAGCAGGTTACATTCCTCCCTATAGTATTAAGGTTAGGAATGTACGAAAAGTAATAACTAAGTATAAACCAAATAATCAAAAGCCCATCATGTGACACCACTCCTTAACTGCAAACAATCAACTGTCAGGTCCATCTTCGAAGTTCTTCTGGAAGGGCTGGGACTTCACTCGTAGCTCCTTATATGGGCTAGCATGGATTCATGAATTGCCTCTGACTCCTTCCTCAAAGAAGGCAAGTTGAAACCATCCATGGCAAGAATCCTGGATGAATCAGTCACCACAAACCCAGATTGTCCCTTAACCCAAGCACACTAGCAGGGCCTCTAATCTGCAGAATCACACAGATCACATTCACCATCCCTATCCTCCCCTGCTATGAGATCTTGGCTGATGTAATCCTAACACATGGATGATGTCTTGGTGATATAAGCCAGATGTACCGTCTCTTCCACGATCAATCTTACAAATTACAGTCAACTATGTGAACGTCACAGCTGTCAATTGTAAAAGGGATTCCCTTACAGTGTAGTAAATATTTTGTATTAACTTGATGAAACAAACTTGATCGTTTTGCATTTTGCTTTGCATAAGCCTCCTCTAGCAGCCTATGGTTACAGAAATAATAAATTTGAATTTTACTTAAATCTGAAAGTTCAAAATGAATTGTTCACTGACCTAGTACTCTCCAGATGTGTTGGACAACCCTCAGAATTGCCAGCTGAAAATATTGAGAGAGGGAATGCCAGGTTGGGGACAAACTGATTTGGAGAAGAGGTAGAAAAGAGCTGTATTGGGCAACTGCTTAGCAAACTGCAAGACTCTAGCAAATCCCTAACTATTGTAATGTACTCTACATGGAGCTACCCTTGAAGAGTATCCAGAAACGTCAGCTGGTGCCATATGTGTTTCTAGTAGAACACGTTACACCTCTGCTCCATGAACTGCATTGGTTACCAGTCTGCTTCTGGGTCCAATTCAAGGTGCTGGTTTTGACCTTTAAAGCCCTACATGCCATGGAACCAAGTTGAGGGACCACCCGTCCCCAATCACATCTGCCTGTCCCACCGGATCTAGTAGAGAGGGCATGCTATGGGTTCCATCATTTAGGTGGGCCCTAGGCGGCAGACATTTTCTGCTATGGCACCCACATTGTGGAAAATCCTCCCCCTGAGGTGAAACTGGCTCCATCACTTTTGACTTTCCAAAGGTCCCTCAAGACCTTGTTGTGCCATCAGGCCTGGGGACCCCAGGGGACTGGCAAACTAGTGAGTTGGCTCCATTATTATTAACATCCCTTTGCCCACCATTTCTTTTTAGCCGGTTTTTATAGTTTTTAATGCATCATCATCATCATCATCATCATCATCATCATCATCATCATGTTTTTTAGCTTTGTTGTATGCCGCTCAGAGTCACTTGTTTTGTGAGATGGGAGGCTATATAAATTCAAAAAATAAACAAATAACTGTATGCCTTCTAATAGCTGTTTCAAGACTTAATTTGGTTGGAAATGAAGAACTAATTCAGCACAATGTGACTATTCCAAACATTAGCACTGCTTAAGCTTTCAGCTTCCGTTCTTTCTGCATTCTAATAATTTAATAAATGGAATGAAATTACACTTATGTCACAATGTTAAAGAGCCACAAGATCCTTTGCCACTGGTGCTACAGAGGAGCAAAGGGCTTGTCACTATGAAATACATGTGCTCATAGAAATACGAAGCTGTAGAGCCATAAGCACTGAACTGTAAAACTTGGTGTGAATTTTTCTAATGGAATATTCTAAGCAGTAACATGAACCAAGCTTTTTCTAGCAAATAATTCTGACTAAAAATGCAAGTCACTCAGGGTAAATGTGCTAAACACAGGACTTAACCTCAAACACATAGATATCAATGAACTGTATTTAACTTCTAGCTGTTCCCTTTTAAAGCAGGTATTGGATGGCATCTTTAGATGGTACTTGACATCAGACCTTTTTTAAGTCTGCATTTGCAAAACTAGTCCAGATGTATTTGACGCTGGCAATTCAATAGGCTTTGCCTGCATTTGGCTTAGTCAGATTAAGAAAAGTATCTGAAGAATTCATCGTGTCACTTATCTTAATGGCTTGTAGACTTTCCTTGTCTAAAGGCAATCTTTCAGTTGTCATAGTCTGTTGAATACTTTCCTGAAATTAAAGGCTAGAAACTGAATACTTTATTTGTGATGTTGCAGAGAAAAAGGGGAGAAACATCTTACGTATAAGATAAAGATTACAGGCTTTGGAAAGAGTATACACACATGGTCAAACATCCTTTGTTAAAATCAATACTAAATTTAATGCCACAAAAATTGGGGTTCATTAATTTCTCATAATGAAATCATCCCTTTGCAAGTTTGACATTGCATAGAAGCTTGCCAGATGTTCCACAGACTGAATCTGGACTCCAAAGTAGATTTATGTAGCCACCATTTGCATTACTGAACACACAATAAATGATGCTTATAGCTTTATATATAAGGAAAAGTTGACACAAGAGTCTGAGTTGGATCCAGACTTACATCATGCTTATGGATCACCAAAATTAATGGGACTTAGATTAATCACACACATTCTAAGTTTGGATTGTAGCAAATGTTATATTTCATGTATACTCCATTGCAATGCTATTTTAAGCAAATCCAAGAAAGTAATGTCTACTACCTGCTCCTTGAAGGCTTCTTTCCAAAAGGATATTTATTCCTTAGCCTCCTTTCTCCCACAAATAACCACCAGAAAGTGACTAGACTCAATGTGCCACACAACTGTGGTGCTGTTAGTGCCAAAAGACATAATAAAGCCTGACTCTGAGGGAGAGCCAAGACATTATTCTAATCTTGATCCTATTGGATTTCAACTCCCATGAGATGAAATCTGTTAGTCCTGGTGGGACATCACTTTAATTGAATTAGAGAGCATGTGATATACAGGGGTATCTGTAATATAGATACCCAGTTTTTATGTGCAGATCAGCACCATCCTCTTACGACATTTTAAAATGTACAATAGGAAATCTTTATTGCCTACACAGAACCATTTTAGTCATGAAAATGGGGTGAAGGGAGTCTACCAATTTCATCTTTTTTTGAAGGAAGGCTTTTTGTTGAATTACCTGTTCACTTGCTCACAGTGCAATGCAAGCATTTCCCACAGTAATATATGAAGCAAGATGTTTCATTCAGTTATCTACTTCAGATGGCACGGGAGAGAATCAGGAGCCAGTCCATTGCTACGAATTTATTCTGAAGCTTTGCTTTAAGTCTTGATCACAAAAAATGGTTTATGTTTGCCACATTATTACAAACTGAGTTTTTTTTAAATTTCTACTATTATAAAAGTAGAGCATAGAAGACTGTTCTGAGTCATCTTCAAAAAGCAGGCCAATATTTTTGTATATAAACTGTACATGAACAAAAAAACAAGGCACTATACATTTTTGGGATATCAAATTTGGATTCAGTGAGTTTCCCTAGAAACCCATGTGATAATGCTTTGTTCAGTTTAGCAGCTGAAACAGCTCTGAGACCAATACTTTTGCAATTAAAAAACATTCAGAATCAGAGAAAGAGAGAGAGAGAGAGAGAGGCCACAGAACGCGTCATAGTCCAGAACAATAACACAGTCCAGCTACTTTCCTGAAACTTTCTTTACAGAAGTACTGAAAGTGAATAATACAAATTGCATTGTTAAATACATCCTTCTCCTATGTGTTTATATAAATATAAATCCTTTTTGAAAATCCACAGCTTGACCAAAATAATACTTTACAAAAAGAACATTTTCAAAACCCAAATGACAAGTAGTGTGTGTAGCCAAAGGATCAGTTGCAGCAGTCAGAAAAGGTCCTGCTTGGAGTACAAAGAACAAAATTCCTACACATGACCTATACTTTGGAGTCCTTGCCCACAAAATGTCTTCCAAAGATGCCTCTCACACATTTACATTATTATATGGCTTTAGAACAGATAGTATAGCCTAGTGACTTCAGACAGTATCTTGCTTTTGGGGGTGAAAACCGGCATGCTACTTCATCCAAGAGGTGCGGAAAATGTCAGTGGGTCACATTCTAGCTCCAGCCCTAGATTACAACTCTGGCACTTTCAGAAAAGCCCTTTTGCCTTTTTGAGGTTCACCTGCTTCCAGGAAGGCAGTGCGTTGTATTCTTCTCTGGTTAGCTGTAATGCAGACTGAATTAAAAACAAGAAGGCATTGAACATGATTAGAATGAAAGAATTAAAAATGTAAACAAGCATGCAAAGAGAGATAACAGTGAGCTACTTCTAGTTTACCTCAAAGTCCTCATCCGAAAGATAGATTTCAAGATTAAGTGGGTCCACTCCCTCGGGAAGAGGCCTTGCCAAGAGATCGGCAAGTGGATACAGCTTTTGGCATAGTTTGGCCAGCACATCTTCTACCAGGATGATCTGATTCGAAGCTTCAGCATCCTGAGGAAGAACCAGAGATCACTGGACAAAATAATTCAAACCAAAACAGAAAAACAAAAGCAAACTGAACCAACAGTTTCACACTGGGTTTGAATACTTCAAGGAAGCCAGGCTATGGTATCACCTTTGACTCAGCCAAGTATTTTGTTCAGAGAAATCAAGTTATAAATTATTTATTTATTTGGACCTTCAAGTCAGTGCTAACTCTTGGCGACTGCCTGGACTAGTCTCTATACTTTTCTTAGCAAGATTTTTGGAAGTGGTTTGCTCTTGCCTTCATCCTCCTAGGGCTGGGATATAAACTCATTTCTTCTTCTCCTCTTCTCTTATTGTCTAACATACCATTTCCATGACTTTCTAATTCTCTCATATGCTTCTGCCCCCTGTTTATAGGAACCTGTCTCTGTTTCTACTTATTCTCCTGCTATATTTGCTGCCCATAAATTTAATTCCTTCATACCTATTATGACATCAGGAGGAATTTTCTAATGTAATAGTTGTCCCACAGACAGCCTTGAGAAGTGGGTGGACTTTCTTTAGCTGGAGATGTTTAAAGAGAGGCTGGAGGGCCATCTGTCAGGGATGCTGTAATGATGGCTTTTTGACATGGGCAGAGGGTTGTTCGAGATGATCTCAAAGATCTGATCCAACCCTTACATTTTATGATTCTATGAAAAAATCTCTGGTATCAGATTGCCTTCAATTGGCTCACTGTTAAGTTCCACACTTTATTTACAAATTAATATCTTCCCAGAGTTATCTCAAAGTTTTATTTTAATTTTCACATTTATAAACAAAGAGCTCTGCTATATTATGAAGAGAAAGGTGCAACTATCACAAACCCTAGCTTTTCACAAACAAGAAAGCCATTTCCTAAGAAAGATAAGGAGCAGCTGGTGGCCCATTACCCAATAGGCTTTTAGTTTGTTGTTCAATCACTAAAATATTTCCTTGAGCCCTGGAAAATTAATGAATAGGTAATAAAATCTCAGTTGGAACCCATCCCCTCCCTATTGTTTTAAACTCACTGCCCTGAAATGCTTCAAGCATCCTATCCAGGTTAACCCTCTGGATTTTAGTGCCTCCCAGCATGATGTTCCAGCATGTCCAAAAGCAGATGGAAAACTGAGAAGGTAAAGAGAAAGATTCATTTACCATTTCGGTGATTTCAGCAATGTCTTCTCTGTGTTCCCAGCTGGGAAACATATTGGTAAATGTCAGAGGCTCAAGACCAGCATGGATTAGATAAGATTTAGGAGGCTTCTTCACATTCTTCCCTATACATTTAGAAAAAGTGTTACGTACAAAATAAATTATAGCTGATTTTCCCTCTTCAGCATTGTGAATTACACACAAGCAGACAAAACAAAACAAAAACCAAACCCTTTCCATTGCAGTAAACATTTCAAACAGAATGATCATAACAGATATAACACTAAAGAGGTTAAAGCCAGATTATTTTATGGATAACGAGAAGCTGCTTGAGCACCAAGACAGCTTCAAGAGCCTGTCTCCTGCCCAACCTCCCTGAGTATTCAACGGATAAGTACCATTAATGGACATCACAGACGGGAGATTCCCACCCCAGAGAGATCTAACCAGCTTTTTCTTCCTGCTTCTGGATGGGGTCTGCTTATTTTTTTGGTCTCCTATCTTTTTCTGTTTTGAATCTTTCGTTGTTGTTGTTATTATTTAAAAAAGAATTTTCACGCTTCACAGTATTTTTATCTGGTAAATTTCAAAGGACTAGTTAATTAATGATTTGGGGAATTCAACCCATGAAATGTTCAGATGCTTGGAAGAAAAGTGAAATATAAATGTAATAAATGAGAAAGTGAAATATAAATGTAATAAATCATCTACCGCATGATATAAGTATGTAAGTAAAATGCTGTAATTACAAGTACTTAAGTAAAATTCCGTAATTTATTGTACTTTGTTAGAGACAAATATTTAACATATTCTATATGGATACTTCCCCTTCATGGATCACTGCCTTGTCGTGGCGAAGGGGCTTGCGTAACTCAGTGAA